TAGATATAAAAACACATTAAACAGCTATTCTGCCAGGAAAGTCCTGCTCTGAGGCTTCAGCCCCAGCCTGCTGATGGATTTCACCGGCACAGCTCAGGGAATTGCCCCAAACCTCGTGTTTTTGGGGTTGGATGTTTGTCATTTTCCCTGCCTGGGCTCTGCTGTGATCCCCGAGTGAGGGTGATTTGCTTTCCCTTTCCCAAGGAGGAAGTTGGGGAAAGCCTCGCCCCTGGGAGGGAGCGGCGCTTCCAGATGGGACCTGAGCGACGAGGACTCGTCTGGCCCGGACAAAACAACCTTTGTTAGGACTGGAAATTAAACCCAGCCTCCCTAGGCTAGACCAAGAACCTCGCTGAGCCACTCCAGGAGCTCAGTTAACCCACACCGAGAGTCCCAGCAGCAAAATCCCACCCGCAGCAGTGAAAAACCAGGTGGGAATGAGAATTCCAGAGAATCCCGGCATGGTTTGGGGTGGGAAGGGAGCTTCAAACCCATCCAGGGGCACCTTCCATGATCCCAGAGCGCTCCTTGGACACTTCCAAGGGATCCAGGGGCAGCCCAAGCTGCTCTGGGTATTTTAAATTCCTCTTAAAATACTTCAGAGAATCGATTCTTGTGTTTATTTAACTCCAAGAAACAATGGAAATAGAATTTTCTGTAGAAAAACCAGCAGGGAATGTTGGTGCTCTACTCCTGCTTTTGTCAATTGACTGCTGATTAATTGTAACGCTACTAAAATATTAATTAAATATATTGGGAAAGGGAATTCTTTCAGACTAAATCCATCAAATTTTCCTAAAAAATGAGGTGCCCTGCATGGCTCAACTCATCTTTTTAAAAAGATCCCAGAAACAGCAGAAGTTTCCACCTCCACGATTCCTCAGCTCCAAATAAAGTTAGTTATTTAATTAGCTTTAATTATAATCACAGGGCTAATATTTCATTAAGCAAAACCTGATAAATTTGAGAAATTATTATTTAAGATGCCTCCTGCCAAAAAAGAACAACAAACTTCAATTACCTGGTGAGGGCAGCAAAAATTTTGCCCAGACCCTTTTAAAAAAGCACCTAATTTGTGATTTTATCAGCCCTGAGCCCGTTGAGAAGGGCAGGTCTGAGCAAATCCTTGGGTTTGTTCAGCTTCACCCAGGAGGAAACGGGGCCTGTTCCACCTCTGAGAGTTCCTCCCCAAAAATGACATTTCTAACATCAAAATGAGCACCAGGATAACCACAAAAGTTTGCAGAAAACTAAAACCACCCTGATTTAAAAAAAAAAAAAATCGACATAAAATCCCTTCCTTTTAGCCAGGAAACAAAACCAGTACCTGAAGGTGCTCTCCAGAGCTTTTATTATTTTTTTAATTTTGACTTCAAAGGTTTTTCAAACATGTTTAGACAAAAAAAAAGGCCAATTAATAATCCTCTTGTCTGGACTTTCAGCTTATGAGGCTGATTTTGGGGTGGTTTTTCCTCTTCTTGGCCACAAATTCTCTACTGGGAGCTCTGGAGTGATCACAACCCATCAAAGGTTTAAAATTAAATGTGATTAAAATTCTCTTTTTAATGTATAGTCTGGATAATATATGGAATGTATAGTACATAGAGGTTTTACTACTGGTAGAAAATAATTCTGATCTCTCAATGCCCAAATTGGATCAATTCTACCAAATCCAAAAGCTGCAAATAAACAGAAAATAACCCAACAGCTCTGAGCTCTCTGTCTCTGCCTTACAAACACAGTCCCTGCTGCCACTGAGCACTTTCAGGCACAAAAACTGATTTAATTTGTGCTGGGAGAAACCCCCAGGACAGGGAAAATCCTCCCTCAGTCCTGCCCTGCACACCTGTGGAGCTGGATGTGCTCCCTGTTCCACTCTGCTGCACTCACAGACCCAGCTGGGGCAGGTTTTGCAAATAAAAGGACAAAAAACAGGTCCAGGATGTTTGGTTTGGGGATAAAAACTCACCTAAAGCTCTCAACTCCTCGTTAAACTGATCCCTTAACACGTGGGTGATGTACAAGCTTAATGGTTAATAATGGGATTTCAGGAGTCTGTGTGTGAGGAAATTGAACACTCCATGATCTCTCAACTGGAGAAAAGCGTGGCTTTTTAAAAAATACGGGAGAGTTCTTCGGTGTTTTTGTTGTTTACTACGGGCACACGGAGATTGTTATCTTCACCTCTTGTGAGCTGTAATCCTAATTTCTCCCCTGCCTACGAGCTGTGAATTGCTAAATGAACACAATTTCATTGTCTTTTAGGTACCAACCCCTCAAGTGTGATACTAAAAAGAAACAGAACTAAAATCTGTGTTAAAGCCACGAGGAAGCAGAGCTCAGAACTCATCTCAGGCCTGTCCCTGCCATACAACCCCCAAACAAACCAGCCCAACGACCGTGCAGCAAAAAAAAAAATGGAAATCTAAATAAAATATTAATATTCATGGTAATAACGAGAAGAAATTGAAGCGCATTTTAGCAACAGGAAGTAAAAAAAACAACCAAAAAAAAGCCGAATTTCCTCAGCACCCAACTTTCGATAACCAAGCACCACCCAAAACCCGGGTTTGTTTTAAGGAGAAAGAACCTGAACCGACACCCAGCCCCGCTGGTTTTTTTCGCCTCCCTATCGCAACGACACAACTATCGCGACTCGGCCAGCCGGCCGCCAAGTTTCCTCCCTGCAACAACTCGCTCCAATTCCGCCTCCCGGGGCTCCTCCACACGCGGCTCCCGCTCCCCGCCCGCCCCTTCCGGACCCCCCGCTCCTCCGCCGCCTCACGACCCCCTCACCTGCGCTTCCAGCGGGCCCGGAGCTCCCTGCCCCGCGCCCGGGGGCCCCTGGCCCTGTGCCGGCCCCGCCTGGCCCGGCCCGGGCGGCGTCTGTGTCTGGCTGGGGAGGGTGAAGTCGGTGAACTCGAACTCGGAGCCCTGTGTGTCCGCGCCGAGCAGCTCGGCCTCCTCGGTGTCCAGGAAGGTGAGGGTCTGCGAGCTGGGGCCGTACGCCTCCACGCTCATGGCGGCGGCGTTTCCTCTCGCCGGGAGCCTTCGCGCCCCCCCCCCCCCCCCCCCCCCCCCCCCCCCCCCCCCCGCCCGCGGCGGCC